CAGGTCTGGGCTTAATTGGAGGTATTTGTTCACCAGTACTTGAAGGTCCTTGGAGATCAACTGCAAGCTAGCCAGTATTGGGTAAGATGGACCAATGAGCTAAATTAGTGTGTGGACAATGTGAGATACACAGAGGGGAAGAAAAATCACCCTCTGCTACAGCTGGTGGGTATATGAAAATATATAGTACTTATGCATCTGGAATATTTTTCCCTTCACAAGCATATTTTCCACAAAACCAAATAAAAACTTCAAGCTGCTTCTGTTATATTGTGTGACTGTAGGTTGACATTCTTCATGAACAACTGTGGCATGGAACATTACAAGTAGATTCAATAGGCATGCAACTTTCTTACAGTGACATCTAGAAAAAGAATCCAGGAAATGTGCAGAGCAGAGCAGCTGAGAAATATCTGTCCTTTCAAGTCTGTATTGTAGAACAGAAACACTGGGAGTGGTACTATGACCTTTCTGTTTTATGCATTGGTATATGGGGAAACCCTACAACCATTTTACTAGGCTATTTCATTAATAAAAGTGCTACACCACATGGTAGATTATATATAAATGTAGTATAAGCATTTGTGATATGCACTCATATATATATATATATATATGCACTGTTAATACACAAAGGTTATGTACTGTTGGCTCTCTTCTATGTCCTGCTGATGTGCTGTAACAAAAACAAAACTCTAGGCCCACCAGAGATGCCAACTTACAGTACTGCAGCAGAAGCAGAGTACAGAAGTACCAGTTCAATTTAAGTATTGGCACTGCATTGGCCACTTGAATAAGCTCACAGACATTTGCTGATATCTTCCAAGTCCTTGGAGGTTCTTCATCAGTAGTTGCAGTATATACAAATACATACAAACACTCCTCCATACTCCCATCAACTTACTTTGTCTGGTATCAAACAATCCAACCCACTGTCTTCATCAACACACACATGCACTGAGCCTCAGTGCAGTTATATAGAGTGTTGCTTAATGGTTATCACCTATTGCCACTTAACATGATGCAATTGCTATTGCAAGCCTTTGCATCATTCAAAGTGCTCTGACTCAGCAATTCTAGCCATACAAAATATTTTACAACTGTTCAAAGGAGCATTGTTACAACTGTCATAATTCATAGTTTTATAAGTTTTATTCTTCTCATCAAAATGGTCCTTTATGATTTGTTTTCTACTTGATTATTTTCACAGAACTATATTGTTTGTCTCAACAGAAATTTTGCCTTCAGTGCTTTACATAAGAGAACCCAAGTCTCTTTCTCCAGAGCATAAGTAAGTAGAAGGTACCAGGGTCTACTGACAGATTTTCAAAGGTTTTCAATTTCCCTAGTAAAGTGGTAGACAACTTAAGTGAGTCTCAGGTCCAAATTCACACCTCTGGATCTTACAATGGGATCTATCTGGAGAATGTGCTACAAAAGTAATGCTTGTGAGAAACTTGTGTAAAAGGATTTATGAGTCTCATTTTGATACTAACTCCAAGTTTCTTGATTAAGCATGCCTTCAGAGGCACCATGGTCCTTAAACTATATGCACCTTTCTGAGCTGGTTCTTGGTCCCTAATTCTAGTTCAGTCTGAGTAGCTGCAATTCAGTTCCAAAGGTCTGCCTATCCCTGCACAAAGGAGCCCTGGTGGCACAGTGGTTAAATGTCAGTACTGCAGCCACAAGGTTGTGAGTTTGATCCCAGGGCTCCAAGGTTGAGTCAGCCTTCCATTCTTTCAGAAGTCAGTAAAATACATACCCAGCTGGTTGGGAGAAATTAGCTTACAGATTGTCAACCACTTAGAGAGTGCTGAGTTCACTGATAAGTGTTATAGAAATGTACACACTGTTGCTAATGCACTAGAATATTCATGGATAATCTTATAATTCTTAATGGAATCTGAAGAAAGTTACTTGAAACTGAATAGCCATATTAGGGGGGAAGCAGACGGGCAGCTGTGGGCCGCCCCGGGAAGCTGTGCCACAGGGCCGAGGTGTCCCCACACCTCAGCCCCACGGCACACCTTTGCCGCCTCTGGAAAGGAGCGCTAAATTGGCGCTCCTTTCACAAGTCGCAGAAGGTGCACCGCAAAAGCTTGTGGCGCACCTTTGGCGACTCTTCCGCTGCAACGTGTGTGGACACTGCAGTGGGAGGTCCTCCTTGGAGCGCCAGCTGTGTGGAGGGCTGGCTGCTCCGAAGATGACCTGAGGTGCAGCTGCCCCTCCCCTTCCCTGCCCCCAAAATGGCCCAATTGGCTGTCTGCTTAGGCTGTTAGTCTCTTGCAGCATAAAAAGGAGGAAGGGATGGAGGGGGGGAAGAAAACAAAGAATGTGGTAGCATTTTTAAGACTATGTGGTTATTATTTTAGCTAGAGCTTTTGTAGGTCAGATGCAGTAGAGAGTGATATTGCTGTACTGCATCTATAGATATGATGCAATACAGAGTGATATTAAGGCCTCTGGTATAAAGTATATTTATATAGTTGTAGGACTGGGACAGAATGTAATAAGATCCAGGGGAAAAAAATGCAAATCAAGTCCCTGCCCTTTGAGAATTTGTAAACTCTGAAGAAGCGGGTGTATATCCACAAAAGCTCATGCTAAAATAAAAACCAGTTAATCTTATAAATGCTGGCATATTCCTTTTTTCTCCACCTCCCTTGCTTCTTTTTATGAAAAATGAATGTGTTGCTTACATCTAGGCCTGGTTTTGCCAATACTGTATAGAGAAAAATTCAAGTCTGTTCCTCTCTTACAAAAAAATCTCATTCTTTTCTAAACATTTGCACAATCACCCACTGGACACTTATTGGCATTCTTATTTTATGATAGCATTTTATTGCAGTCATTTTATGGTAGCATTTGTAAAATAAAAAATGGTCAGAATTTGCTTGGGCAGTTACGAATACATAGCCACCGTAGTTACATAGCTATACAGTGGCCTCCAGCCCAACCTTCCTACCTAGTCCCCACTGACTGGGCAACAGCCACTCCAATGAACTCTATTGACTAAAAATACAGAGAGGCACACTGCAACATCAACAAGACCTTAAAAACAAGTTTACAACTTTGTTATATAAGATTGCATATACACACCACTGGGTTAGTTCTCATTCACTTCTGTTTGTATACATCCAGTCTGTGAAGAAAGTTGGTTAGCCATAGAACATAGGTTAATATTACATAAAGTACAGAGAAATTCACAAAAAAATTCTTATAAAACCATTCTATGCCTATGAATGTCACAAAAACGTTAATCCTATAGTGACAGAGATCAATCTGTAGTTCCTGTCAGCACTCTAAACAAGATTCTTCTCAAAGGCTAGAAATGAAGGAAGAACAAAAATAATGTTTCTTTTGTTTATGTACCTAGTCTAGAGTCCATTACAATAAAGTCCTGTAGAATAAGTTGACTATGAACATCAACATATGTTTCCTAATCTTGCTCTATAATTTCTTAAGCCTCTTGTCAGTTACTTGTCATTCATGTGCAAATGTTCTACAGAATCATGAATAATAAGCCAATGGCCTTGATACTGAACTTTCTATCCACTGCTATTTCTTTAAATAGAGATATGCCACACCAGTCAGCTATGATTTAATACTTTACATACAAACAATCATTTTAATAGCAAGCAACATAACAACAGTTAATCCAGATAATGTGATATGAATGCTTTATTTTTTAAGGGAAGGTTAAGGGCTTTATCGTATATTAGATTTCTGCTATCAGTTATAAGAGGAGCAGATTTAAGTTTTATGTCTTGACTTAAACATTTTGACTTCTTAAACAAACTGGCTTGTTAAATTCTATGCCAGTTCTCAAGAAAAAAAGGACTGAGTCTTGATCAAGCCAGTTGGGCTAAATATATATCTAGTATATATATATATTGCTAGAAAACTATAAGTTGATTTCTGAAAACAGGAGTGATGTGGAATAGATGGTCCAACATACACACACACACACAGAGAGAATGACATTTTTATTACTGGAGAATAATAAGGATTCAAATATGTAAAATGAATTCATATAGTCCCTTTGGAATACTGACATAACTTTTGGAGCATCAAACAAGATAAGGATGGATAAAAGAACGGCTAGTGTCAATGTGTAGAACCACCATAGTGTAATGGTTTGATTATTGGACTAGGACTCTGGAGATCAGGTTTCAAATTCCAGCTCAGTCACGTAAACACACTGGCCACGTCACATGCTCTCAGCCTCAGAGGAAATTGATGGCAAACCTCCTCTAAACAAATCTTGCCAGGAAAACCCCATGATAGGTTCACCTTAGGTTCACACTGACTTCAAGGCACACAATAACATGCCAATTTGTACACCCTGCAGCCTCCAGATGATATTCATGAGAGCACACCGTATCACATATTTTTTCACAATGAATGAACAATCACATTTGTATGAACTGATATCTTCATATATTCAAGCAATCTGTACTGCACATGATCAAGTAATCTGCATGATCACTGGGAATAACGAAAGGCCCATCATGACCGTGATGGCATTTTCCCAAATAGAAATTACCATTCATACAAAGTAGAGCTTCATCTAAACACTTCCCACCTCTGTGAACCAAGTGACAGTCCTACTGATTCCCAGAGGTGATGGGAGGGATTCAGAGACTGTTTATGCTCAGAGCTTTAATGTCTGTGATAAAGCATACTCCATGCTTTCTTTTTAAGGTTTTCAGCCAATTTTTTAAAATAGCACCATGTTTTGCCATAGACAAGAGGTTCTTAAGCTACAGAGGCAAAAATAACATAAATAGAGAAGTTCAAAGCTTTTATTGGATAGCAGGCAATTAAAAAGAATTCAAGGAGGTTATCGTGTGCCTTCAAGTCATTTCCAACTTATGGCAACCTAAGGCAAAACTTTCATGGGATTTTCTTGGCAAGATTCTTCAGGGGGGGGGGGTTGGTATTGCCATCCTCTGAGGCTGAGAGAGTGTGACTTGCCCAAGGTCACACAGCAGGTTTCATGGCCCAGCAGGGTTTTGAACCCTGATCTCCACAGTCATAGTCCAACACTCAAACCACTAAACCATACCAGCTCTTCTTTTCAGTTGTCCAGAACTCCAAACAAGCAACCACAAAGAGGTCTCACCTATTAGTCAAAAGGTAAAAATCATGACTACAGACAAGAACTGCACTGGATATAGTCAGAAGGGCCATATTTTTTTAAAAAAAAATCTCCTTGGCCTATGTGCAGCTTTGCACCAACAGCTTCACTAAGCACACCTGTTTCTTGATCTTATTCCTGACTCTTATCAATATTCATGAATACTTTCATAGGCCACATGTAAATTATTAGTGATAGCTGTCTCATCAAAATGGTTTCTCCCATGTTCCAAGGTCAGGCCATTTATGTCACATACACATAACATGTAAACAAGCCATAAGGTCCACCTGGCCAGAGTTGTGGGAATCTGAGCAATGTGAAGAAATGAATATGCCTATTTATGTCCTCATTACAAGTATTTTCAGCCATTTCCTACACATACCACAAACTGAAAACAGAATACGTGGATAAATATGTACCAATGTTGTTTCAATGTAAGAAATGTCAACAATAAGGAGATATCTTTCAATCAAAGGTAAAAATTTCAGGTTTTGTATCTTGATTGATCAAAAGCCTTGCTGAAAGCAAAAATAAGGTAAAGTAAACCAAAATAATTGTTCTTCAGTATCGAGGATAGTCAGCATAGTTGTTCATCTCAACTCCATTTCCAAAAGGTATTCAATTGTCAGTGAGAAGCAGGGCCAACAATATTTGCCTTCCGGTAGCATTTGGTTGCTCTTTTGCCATCTGTGAATTGGAAATGCATGGCTTCTGGCTACTGTAAAACATTTCCTTTCTTTATGACCAAATGACTGCTTCAACAGCATTTTTACATGCACTCGTCTCTGAAATTGTTGAATTTCATGTCAGATTCTGATGTATTCCAGCTATTGTAATTTGATAATATCATTCTTGTGAGTTAGTGCCACCTCCTCTTTATTTTCACCACCTCCCACTTCACCCATGTTGTTTGTTTGTGGCCTATTCATGCTAAAGATTTATAGTGCTATTATTCCACTTTAACTGACATGGTTCCATCCTATGGAATCCTGCGATTGGCAATTTAGGAAGGGGCATTTAGAATTCTCTGCCAGAGAGATCAAGTGCCTCCACAAACTACAAACCCCAGAATTCCATAGGATGGAATCATGGCAGTTAATGTGGAATAATAGCACTGTAATTATATTATGTGAATGCCACTTGTTGAAGTTGGCATGTCCCTATTTCAATGCTGCACTTACTGCGGACGTTATCACACTGGCCCTAAAGCAGAAGGAATTCAGCATCATTTCAGCACCATTCTGGATCTTTTTTCCGTGTGTTCACACGACGTCGCCGCAAACCCCGCCCATCCCTGCATCATTCCGGCATCATTTCAGCGTCATTTCAGTTCTTTTGAATTATGGGATCTTGAGGAATTACACTCGAGCGGCCGGAATCATGCCGGAATGATGCTGCTTTCACCGTAGGTATGAACACGAGATGTGTTTCATGGCGCATTTCCTCATCTTGGCCCATAGTTCCCCGCGCTTTTCCCATGGAAGCATCTTATGAGGTGTGCTTCCTGTTTGGATCAGGCAACCCAGAACGGGTAAACATGATGGTCCTCTCTAATATTTTAGGGTTGTGGAAGGGATTTTTCCACTTGTGTGTGAACAGGAGATACGGGCCCCTGGAGCGGAACCATTGCGGCATCGCCCATTCCGCAATGATTCCAGTCTAGTATGGTAACGTTTTCCGCTTGCCGGGACCATTCCGGAATGGTTACGGAATGGTTCTGGAATGATTCCATCCCACTTTCTTGCCGCTTTCTTGCCGCCAGTGTGATAACGTCCTGGGACAGTTCTAAGCCATTTGCTGTGATTATGAAGAATCAGTTCTGTGACATTTCAAGTGCAGTAAACAGATATATTTTTTTCAAAGCACTATAAGTGTCCTTATAAGTGTTCACATTGTTCTGGATTTAATGAGATAACAGAACAAAATTGAGGCTTCCAAATTGTGTCTGCAGTTAAAGATACACTTGCACAGGCTGTTTTTCAGAAATGAAATCAACATCTGTACCCTAAAGACAAATTACATTAAGACAAGTCAGTCATCAGTTGTCCCCCACCTATGTACATTGGTTAGTATATGGCCAGTGTAATAATCCACAGGTCAAAGATAATACTATCTATAATATTTATACAACATCATTTCCAGAGTTTGGAAAGCTTTCTTTTCTTGGGAATACAGCAACTGCTGACTGGAGGAATCCTACAAATAGAAATCTTTGTTTAAAATCCACTTTTCCAAGCTCTGGGTTTTTGTTGCTGGGGAAAAGAGATGTCAGATCAAGATCTGATCCTTCTCAGGAATTGTTACCAGTTATGCTAAATAAATATGAATATTAGACTTTTATGCATAAGGCAGGAAAGCTGTCTGTTGCCAGAGTCTGAAGAATTCATAGTGGACAAGGCTGGCTTGTCGCCTGGGCTCCTTGTTCATCTTGGAAAAGCCAAGCCTCATCTTAAACTGTAAGACTGGAAAGTCCCTCATTCCCACCACACATACTGACAAGGAAATGGTTGCACTAATTGTGAGCAATCAGTGCTTAATCTATCTTGTCTACCTCCACTGAATGGAGATTCTGTCAAACTGGTTCACATTGTTGTGAATTTAATGACTGGGACACACCCCATGGTGAGCTATTGTGCTGCCTTCAGAGAGGCTGGGAAACCCATCTGGATTTCAAATACAGTAGATATCTATATCTGATTGGCCTTGTCCTGTGTATGAAACCCATTGTCTATATTACTCAGACCACTTAAGAGCCATTATCAGAATCTGAGGGGCACTTCACCTTTGTCTTTTTGAAAGCACATATTGAGGTTATGTTTGCCCCACCCAGAGGTGTTCCTTTCACTCCTAGGAGTCCGCACCTCAGGTTAAGAAGCCCTTTAAAATACAGAAACACACAGAGATAATCTCTCTCTTTGACTTGCCCTCTCTTGGAACTCTCTCGCTTTCTCTCTCTGACCTTCCCCAGTCCCCTGTCATCTTCTTCATGTCAGAGGGTGAGAAAATCCATGTGTGTGTTTAAATCTGTAAGCCCATTAAAGTTTAGCTAGTCCCCCTTAGATTGGTTAGAAGAGTTTTAACTTTCATACTGTTTCTCCCTGCTTCCCCCCTTTTTACCACAAGAATAGATTGTTCTGTTGGTTTCTGCTATCTTTTTCTCTCTTTTTAAGAAAGAAATTGTTTTTGCTGCAAAATCAGCTTGTTCTTCTGTTTCATTTTTACTTGGATCCACTTTGGTTAATTGTCCACTTTTAAAGCCTTCAGCCTGTAAGATCCTAGAAGAGTTCCCCTGCCCCCTCCAAAAAAATAAAAAATACAGCATACTGCTCTTAACAGTCTCTGAAAGTATCCAGTATGTCCTCAACTTCTTTACTGTAAATGTTTGTGACAGAGAAATCTAGTGATGTTTCTGTCAAGGGGAAGATGTGGTGCTCGTCATCCTTTCAGCTTTCTCTTCTGGGTGAGCAAAGAGGCAAAATAGGTAAACAAACAGGACAGAAGAATAAACTTACAGAGAAGGAACAGCAGGGCCCATAGGCTGTGAACAGTGGGGCATTGTCTTGATCCTGGGTCTGGGTATTAATTGTGTTCTATCTATGCCTGCAATCATGGCTGGGCTAAGACATTTCACTTTACAAGGCCAAAGAGAGAACCAGGTTCTCATTTTTCATATACAGAAGTGAAGTGAATTAGAAGATGAATTCTACTTTAAAATTTCTAGAAGACAGTGTTCACCAAATATTAGGTTAGAATATGCAATCAGAGCTGTGGTGGAATCGTCCAGCTTCCAGGTAACATGTGGTCCTCTAAGAGGTCCAGACCAGCCCTTTGGATCCCAACTTGATCACTAAAGCCCCTGAGACTCCACAAAAAATCAGCCAAAAATATATTTTTTCCAGCAAAACCAACAACAAACCAACAACATTCAACAATCCTTTGAGAAGTGGGAGAAAGACTCTAAAACAGTTTTGCACTATTTATGAATCAGAAAAAAATATTCCCTGAAAATTGGCCTGAAAGGCAACTGGGAGATGTGTGACATTATTTATCAGCCTTCAGACCTCTGGTGTTCTGTTTCCTCCAGAACACCAGAGGTCTGAAGGCTGATAAGTAATGTCACACATCTTGAAGCTACAATATCAGCCTTCAGACCTCTGGTGTTCTGGAGGAACCAGAAACAGAGTCCTGTGATCCATACCTATCCCTCCTTTAAAAAGTGAAAAACAGACCATATGGCATACACAACTCTATCCACCAATGGCAAAGAACAACCAGGGGGCTGATGCTGCTTCCTTTGAGTATTTGTCTACTGAGGTAGTTGCCCCCTTCCTGCAAATGATGAAACTTGCTCTTCCTACCTCAAAGCCTAAACTATAGTATGTAAACCTTTACATCTTTTGTCTACACTCTTGTCCCACCAGTAAATTGTATGCCAATATTCTACTGATGACCATGACTGCCACAACTCTCCATCAGCCATGGAATAGCTGTTCAACATGCTATTGCTACAAAATACTGGGGTGGTGAGTGGTGTGCCATAGCAGCGTTCTGCACATGGAAATCTTACACTACATTGGACAATGCAGAATTACAGCATATATCTACTTATCTATCTGCTTGCTTTCTCCACCCATAATGTCACAAGTTCAGTCCCCAATATCATTGTGCTCCTCATATCCTTATTATACCTTTGGTCCTCCAAAGGTATTTTCCTCTTCTTCTTCTTTTTGCTTTCCTCTGAGCTCAATTTGGCAACATCTTCCAAAAAATTAAAGTAGTCATTGAGTTCTAATTTCCAGTAATGAAAGTTTGATAGAGAGGAACAGCTGTTTCAGCAGGAGAGGTGCAGGACTTGAATTTGAATCACCTAAGCAGAAGGACAAAGTGAAGTCTGGACAATGCACAAATGGCTTCCCCCTTTTTGTTCTGCTAAG